CGCCGTCACTGGCAAGCAAGACGTATGCAAGAAGGCGCAAAGTAAGAAGGGAAAACGTTAAACAATAAAAAAACACACATACCCACAGAGAAAAAAAAATGTGCGGGCAGAATAGCAAAGAAAACGCAAAAGGCAACACAGCCGCACATAAGCCAAAAAAGATCAACAACAAGAAAGAGAACGAATACAGTTCTCACCACAGGATGTTTGTAAAGGAAAGAGAGAGGGAAAGACACTCTCGCTGCAGGGTTGCCCCTCTCTGTGGAATGCCTGGGCCAAAGCCACATCCTCGTGGCGTGTCAATTTGCATCGTCAATGAGGGGCTCCTCCTCAAAAGAGCTAATGCCTTCGATACGGGACAAATGCTCATTAAAGAGATTCTGCATTGTGGCCGCCGTTTTCGTCTGATGAATTGTCTCAGACATCCTTCCCATTGCCCCAATGTGCTGTGACAGTGGGGTCTGTCGATGCACGGCTGAGGCACGTGCGCTCTCCCCCCACGCACAGTGCTCTGTCAAGTGCGTTAGGTGCAGTTCATGAAGGTTTTCCTCGGCAGCAGCGCCAATGAGGAGCGGCATTGTGCGTCTACCATTGGACCGCATGAACTCCTCGCGGATGAAGTTGTAGTCAAGCTTTTCCTTTGTTACCTGCGTCGCGGCCCAGAGAGTTCCGTGGCAGCGCATCAGCTGATGGAACATCATCCCTTGCGCGAGCCGTCTAGCGTAAATGTCGTTCATGCTAACTGTTCCGCTGGTTTGGATCGTTTGCCAAGGGAAAGTTGTGTAACGAAAAAAAAACATTAACGAAAAAAAGCATCACGGAATCGCCATAAAACACATTCGGTGCCTGTTAAAGCAGAACGCCTGCGGCGAGGCGGAGATGTATGTGTAGGGAGAGCAAGTCTCTCTCTCTGCCCCCATCGCCGCAGAGGAGCTGGCAAAAAAAGCTACTACTTCTCCTCCTCCTCCTCCCCTGCCGATGTTTTCCCGCCGCTTGACAGACCGAGGTGGTCCAACTTCTTTACGCCAATGTAGGCAAATCCCGCGGCGCGCAACTCTTCTTCGGTTGCCTTGTCGTCCCTCGCATAGTCCGGGACAGGTGAAACCGTGGTGCTGCCCGTGATCCGCGGTGGGTCATTCCGCACGTACAGCAGTGTGCGCATTTCCCAGTAAAGCGCCATGGCAAAGATGACGGTGGAGGCCCGGAAGAGCGTCCAGCTCCAGTCCCTGTTGTACCCCCAAAAGTCAAAAAACGGGAGGCTTTCGCGGGACTCGAAGCGTGGGTCCTGCCAGTGTGGCTTCTCGGGGTCGATGTGCTTCAAATCATCGGGGTCGTACAGCCGGGGGTCCGTCATGTGCCGCGACGCTGACGCGGTGTCGACGTACGGCTTTGGTGGAATCGGCGTCCGCTGCCTTCCGCGTCGGGTTATGAACCGCAGCAGCCACTTCATTGCGGGGCGGTCATCCTTCATTCACAACACACACACACACACGCAGAGAAAAAACCCCAAGGAGAAAAAGCAGGCGTACAAAAAAAAAACAAGAACAAAAACAACAACAACAAAACGGGGGAAAACGGACATCAGGATTTCCGCCCGCACACCAGCGCGTGACAAGAGTATACACCGCACCGCTCTCACCTGCCTATCCCCTGGATTTTATTTATCTATTTATTTAATTTTTTTGTTTTTGGGGGATTATAAATTTAAACTTTTATGGAGTTTCAACGCGTGCACGGGTCGACGATGCCGCCGATTTTGCTGGCTGTGCCCCCGTTGCTTGCGGCCGCCGCCGCCGCAGTGCGTTTGCTACAGCCACGGCATCCACCAGACGTACATCTCCGCGAGGTTTTCGACCGCGGAGGAGTGGCTGATGAGGCGCGAGACTTGGCCTTCACAGCTGAGCGCCAGCGTGTCCTTCTCGCGGGTGGAGCTGTACAGGTCAAGAAAACCGTCCAGGCGCCGCGAGACGCGCCCAATCAGTTGCCTGGGATCAAAGTTCTTCTGACGCAACGAGGAGTGCCGCGTCCACTCAACGAGGGGGTCATGCAGGAGCGTCTCCACAACGCTCATGACGGCGGTTTTGTTTTTCATCTGGCAGCGGAGGGCCAACTCGCAGCAGGCGCGAAAGGGCCCATCGACGCCAAGTATCCCCATTCCGTCAACCACGTTTTGAGTCAGGCGAAATCGTACCCGTTCCGGGATTTCTAGTGACTCACCCTTGTCAAAGAGGCACGCAAAGTCCACGTGCAGCAACTCCCCGCAACGCAAATCCAACATGAGGTTCTCGCCATGCCTGTCGCCAAGGCCAACGATGTGCCCCGCAATGCTCCACAGCGCCGTGGCCTGCGTGTAGCAGTTACGCGCATTAAACCACTCCTGGTGACTCAGGAAGTGGCCGTGAAACCAGTTGTGAAACACCGGTTGGGTTTTGGGGAAGATGTGCTTCCGCAGCATGTCGATCTTGGTGAGGGATCCGCTGTCCACCATGGCCTTCCACGCCTTTACCTGCGAGACGCGCACACCTGTGCCTTCCATGGCATAGCAGTCCTCAACCACCCTCCGAAAGGGGACGAGGTTGTTGACCCATTCGATAATGGCGCAGTCATCGCTGAGGGCGGTGACGGCGTACCGGCGCAGCGCAAACCGCTTGCGTCTCGGCTCCGGATCCGTGAGGAAGAAGGTGTTCATCAAGGAGGCAATCTCCATCATTCGCATATCCTTTCGCGGCTCATCCCGCGCCTTGCAGAGGAACGGAACGGGCGCCCCCTCATCGCTGATGACCGTTATGCGCTTGGGCTTCTGCAGTGAACTCATAATGGTGACACGCTCCTCCACGCTATGAAACGCCGCAGAGCCAGCAAAGACAGCCGTGTTCTCCGTCACGCGCATGACGTTCGGTGACAGGTTGGCCATCGTTGGCAGAATGATGCGTGTCTCTGGCAGGATCAGCTGGATCCGCTGCATAAAGGGCTTCCCGGCAAGTGACGCCTGCGACGATGAACGGCTAGCCACAAGGCTTGCGGCAGGGCAGTTGCAGAGCTCAATAAGCGACTTGAAGAAATCACGCATGCGCTCAACGAACTTTCCTTGGTTCGGGACGCGGTCTACAAACTTGCGAACGATCGCGTTCCTCGCTGTCTCGCTGCGCTGATGCTGCTTGCCAAAAGTAATCGGAAGCACCTGCCACAGGCACTGCTGCGGGAACTCCACCATGAGTTTAACAATGGTGTCCGTGACGATCCCGACCACGCGCGTGTTGTCCTGACCAATGCGAGACAACAGCTGCGGAAGGGCCGTAATGAGTTGTGTGACCGGCAAACTTGTGCCTGGTTGAAGAAGAAAGCGCTCCATCATTTCATTCAGCTTTTTAAGCAGCGAATCAGCAAGGAGCGCGGCTGAGCCCAACTTTGCGGTTAGCGCGGCCAGCGGGGTGGAGCAATTGAGCCACAGTGTCAGCATGCGAGGGAGGGAGACAACCATCGTCTTGCTGCCCAGCCGCAGCGCCAGCCCGAAATGGTGAATCGCCTGTAACACATAAGACTCGATATTTCGCACCAGTTTCTTGTCCTCCACGTCATCGGGGGAGGCACGCAGAGACGCACCCGCCTCCTGCGCCGAGTTCTGAATGGAGCGATACAGTTTTTCGTAAAATAAGGCGAGGTGGTGGTGGGCCTTCTCAGACTCATTCATTTTCAGCGCAGACACATACCCCGCAATCACCTCCTGAGAGGTTTGGAACCCCGTCTCTTGCCGCCAGCGCGTGGCCAGCAGGCGTAGCTTGGCGCGGGTAACAAGCGGACCGAGCGCGTCGTTGACAACGTTCTCGGCGAATTCAACGGCCTGGTTTGGCATGTTCATCTCGTACAGCAGCTTTGCCACAGTGGTGTAGTAGGACGGGTCGACGTAGCCGTCCCCGAGTCTGGACTGCTTGGCCGCACTCAATGCCGCCTCGCGAAGCCCCTCATCCCGCAACATCTTCGCGTGCCGCATCCACGTCTTTGTCACCTCCTCTTTCATGTCAAGCGCCCTAAAAATGGAGCGATGGAGCGAGATCAATAGCTCCTGCGTTTCTGGTGCAGTCTCCGTTAGGCGGGCGCGTTGCTGCAGCAACGCGGCTAACTTCTGAAGGAGTGCCTTTCTATTCAAAAAGGCGTCACGAACGGGCAGCGCCTCTTCGTCAAACTTTCCCTCCCTTCGCAGCGACGTCACGGTCTCGGTTGCGGTTTCAATGTCCCCTAAGGCGTGAAGGACAACGACGTGGGGATGCACCTGGGCGTAACTCTCCCTAAAGGCCGCGCGGATGACGGGCGCTATCTTCTGCCGCTGCGCCTCACAGGCGGAGAACACCTCCCTCAGTGTGCCTCGCCTGTAAAGTAAGTTGGTGAAGGCTCGAATGGGTGACGCCAGGCTGATGGGAAGGTCCTGGCGAGTCTCGATACGTTCCCACTCTCCAAGACGCCATGAAGCCTCATTCGCGTAGTTCTGCAATGCGGCCCTCTTTGCTTCCCACTCAAGGCTATCGCCTCTCCTGTGCTCACCTGGAAGGCGTGAGTACTGCATCAGCAAAGCTTGACTGTAGCGAGACATGAGGTGCAATTGTCCGAGTTGCTGCATACAACGCAGAAGAGTAAACTGATGGTTAATACTATTGGGCTGGTGCTGCAGCACCAACTCGCTTGCCTGCAACGCCAGACCCCATTCACCGTTGTTCTCGTAAGAAAAGGCTGAATCCTCGGGTTGGTGTACTTGTGTGCGGTGCAGGCTCCGTGACGAATCCCTGTCGCCGAGGGCTGCAAAAATGCGCTGAAGGGAAATGTCCTGGTTCAGAACTTCGTGCACGGATGGCAAGTACTGCTGGCTCTCTATGTGGCGCAGGGCACGCATGTTGCTTCCAATACCCACCGCCGCCGCGGCTCTTATGGTCCAAGGCACACGAAGAATAAATCTTTTACAGACGGCTTCCACGTGCGTCACTTCCATGAGGTCCAGCGTCCCCGCACGCGACGCGCGAATTTTATGGACGATGCGGGGCAGATTCAGCCGCAGGTGCTCGATGTTCTCCAGAATCTGAAAGACCTCTTGCACGTGCTCCTCCACGCCGGTGGCCCGGGACCCGGGCGTGGCAACCTCCCGCATGATGCCCTGCGAATACAGCGAGCCATCCTGCCCCCCCTTGTCTGGCGCGACAGGCGAGGCGAGGTGCAGCAAGTTCGTCACCTCATTCAACACCGCATTGAAATGGACATCACTGCCCATCCGTAGCAGGTGAACAATAATGAGCGGAACAAGGCACGTGATGAGGACCTGATCGCCCTTTGCCATGTTGCGCAGCGAGCCCATCATGAGCCCAAAGGTGCCCTCGCAGCGCTCGACCAGGTCGCAAAACCATGCGTCTAGCCAATCATGAAAAGAGAGCCCAGCTTTGTACACCGGACTACTCAGTTCACTCTCCCTCATGACTTTTTTGCCGTAGCGGGTCGTGGTATATCCCGCCAGAAGCTGCTGACACTTTGGCTCTAGCTGCGACCACCACAAGTACTCCTGGAGCTCATTAACGTCTACAGGTTCTGTATCTTCGAGAGGCAAGCGGTCCACCAGTCGTCGCTCGGCGTCCGTGCAAACACGCAAGAGCTGTTGCACAGCGTACGCAGCGCGGTCATGCTTGGTGGGGTCAGCAGTGTTTGCCAGAGACCACGGACAGTAGACACTGAGCAACTTGTGTGCCAGCGTACGCCAGTCTAGGACTTCCCCTGGCAGAAAGTGCATGCCTCGCAAAGCCCCGCTACCGCTGCTAGCCGGGGAAAACGACCTCGGGACACTACGCGAAGAGGTGTCTCTTTCCGTTGCAAGCAATGGGGCGTGCGAGTGGGCTGCGGCGCCAATCATGCCCACACAAGACAAAATGCACTCGAGGTTATCTTCGCGCAGCTCGCAGGCGCAGTTGAGGAGCGTGGGAATAAACTGCGGACTCAACTCAGCCGCCCGCGTCATTTCCAGCCGTCCCTGACTATCCATGTTGCGGAGATATTGGTAAAGGGCGCGGACAAACGCCTCGTTGCACTTGGCAGAGCCCGACTGCACCACGGACAGAAAACCAGCAACAACGACAGTGGCGTTACAACCCGTGTGTGGCAGTCCCTTTTCCAAACCCCGTGTTTCTGAGAGGGGCGCCGGATGAGTGCCACCCTCCCCCCTCAATCGGCGGATGAGTGCATTTCTCTCACCCATCACCTGAAAATACCACTTCCAGAACGTATCCTGCGAAGAAGCCTTGTAAACGATGCGCATGGAGGCTTCCAACAGAGGCAAGGGGCCTCCCTCTGCCTCATCACCCCAGCCATGATCCTCAGCCAGCTGCCCCATGCTCAGGAGATCCACAACTATCGTGAGAGCGTGTTCCTTGAGGTACTCTGCTGTGCAATTTGTTAGCAATTCACGCCAGACCACACACACTGGCCGCAGCAGCTGTGGTCGTGCACTGCAGTGCATCAAAATGGCCGGCAGCTTGGGCGCAATGGTTGTCGCGTGCGAGCCAAGCAGTTGTATTAGCAACGTCAGACTGCATAGGCAGCGTCGCACGATGCAGGGAGAGACATCGTGGGGCACCATGAAGGGCCCGATGCCCACAAGCTCCGCCATAGCATCCAACACGTGAAAGAAGTCCACAGTTAGCCCCGTCACATCCGCCTTTACTGTCACCGGCGTCACCAGCGCCTGCGAAACCGCATCCGCGGAAGGGGTGCACCCCACAACGCGCAGCGCCAGCTCCACCGCGAGGTTGAAGTTGGAGAGAACACCGCCGGCCTCACTATTGCCGGCCTCCGTGGGGCACACTTCAGCCGCCTCAAGCCGCAAGTCCGCGCTACGGAGCCGCCGCCCGGCCTCCAAGTAGAGCAGACTGACGATGAGCGGCGCACGGACGTTGCGCACCCTCTCCGGCAAGTCCTCTAAAGGGATTGAATAAAATTCCAGCAGCCTCTGCACCTTTTCCAACTTCTCCGCCACCGGTGCTTGGGCATACTCCAGCAAAATGTACGCCATAACCCTAGGCAACACGCTGAGTTCGGAAAGCGGCTCGTCAAACAACGATATCCTTTGAAGCTTCTCCTTGCCCTTCTCGGAGAGAACGCAGTGGGGCAAGGCGTCATCGAGACAAGCCAGGGCAACCTCTTGCACGACACTTCCCTCCAAATCACACATGGCCTCGAAAAAAGAGGTGTCAATCATGCCAGCGTCCCTCCAGCACAACGCAGCCAGTGACCAGGAGAAGTGAAACATAATGGCATGCGCCGCAGTCAGCGCCGTCGACCTGGTGAGCATCGTGAAGGTGTCATTTTCCCAAATTTCAATGCACATCTCAAAAACACTCCTGCAGGCTGCGCCTTGCTGCCCTTGCTCTGGGGCTGGGGTGATTGCCAGTGGTAGCGAGGCAGCCACGGGCGAAGAACCGTCATGGCACATCCCCTGCTCCAGGAGCACCGCGTGAAACTCGCCACTAAAGGCGGCCTCTAGCGCCTCGAGGCACAAGTGCTGTTGCAGCCTCTTATCCCCTTCGGCGCGCGTCAAATTCTGCCGAAACACACGCACGATGCTGGCGTCGTTCCATCGAGTGAGTAGGACGCGCACCACTAACGCGGCGTAACCGTGACGAATGACACGATTGCTGTGATTCAAGCCACGTGCGAGGGCTATTTCTTCCATGGCGTCCCACCGCACGGGGGAAAGCGTGACACACAAGCAAATAAACGACAACAGTGCGTCATGGAGAACATCCGATGCCTGCGAGGGCCTTGCAAAGAGGACCTGGCGAGCCACCCAGCCAATGGCCTCCATAGGTGCGCTGACGCCACGCAAGAACTCATCAACGCCGCCCCCACTGCCGTTGGCGCTGTCGTTGCACACTTCTTCTGCCTCATCCTTTTCTTCTGCGCTGATGCTGCCCCGCCGCTGCGGCCGCCCTCGACGTTGCTTGCTGGGGGTCAGAATAAAAACATCCTCCTCCAGGTTCTGAGTCTCCTGCGGCTTCTCCGTCTCCGCCTCGTCGTCCAGGACAAGCACCTCCGCCGCCTGTGGGGCCCCCGCCAGCGTGCCGCAGGCAGTCGCGCGGGCACGCAGCAACTCCGCCACGTAAAGCGTCTCCGTTACAAGCGCCACCATTTGCTGCCAAAACAGCATCGGTGCGTCGCTACTCGCAGCCTCCTCAAACGACAAATTCGGCGTGATCTCGGCGAGCGCGTCGAGGACGCCGGTAATCTCCCCAAAGGTGTTGCGGACGACGGCGGAGGCAGTCTCCCTTGGCTCCTCCTCGCCACCGCGCGAGGAGGCCGCATCACCCATGCTGGACTGACACAGTTTGGCAATGCGCCTTCTAAAACCACGGAGAACGCCAATGGTGCGCCAGAGCGCCATGGCCAGCGTCCCTTGCCGCGGCAGTAGCAGTTGCCTCAGAACAAGCAACGCGCCTTTGCTACCACCGCGGCTGAGAGGCAGTCTTTCTACAAGGGACGCGTACAGTAACGCTACACGCAGTGGGGAATCCAGCCGCTGCAGAGTCACGCGGCCGGCGGCCAGCGCCTCTAGCGAACTCAGCGCCACTGCTTCCATTTCCACTTGCTGCGTCGATCGCAAAAGAATGATAACCGCATCCGCCGCCATGACACTCTCCCCACTCAGCAGAGATTGCCAGGCCTGCGAAAAGGTATTCTCGACAGAATTTTTGTCGCAGAGCACAACGGATGCGTTCGCTGTGGCCAACAAATACGCCTCCCTCGGCACCTTCCCACGACGGAGAGCAAGCTCTCGCCGAAGAACTGGCTGCACCTCGGCCAGCGGGAAGAGTTTGAGCATTTGGTGCAACACCCCCGGCCTGGGAGACGCATCGGCAAACCACAGCATTGGCTGCAGGATGCTAAAATCTAGCAGCGCATTCATCATCTCGGCAGCCACATCATAAAACACCTCCTCCAGGCGGCTCGAAATGCAACTGACATGCGACATCGCCCTCTTGAGCATTTCTAACAGTACGGCACCTGTCTCGAGTGACTCTGGTGAAGTTTGTCTACGAACACACCCAATCAGAGCACGGATAACATGGTTCAGCACGTTTGGTTTTGCGGCTAAGGTTTCTAGCAATGTGTGCGGCGAAGCCATGGCTTCATCCCCCGCCAGCGCGTCCCCTTCCTTCAATTCCCCTGCGATAATCAAATTGGAGGCAGTTGTACTCTTCACGCGGGTTTCCGTCAGCCAGCGGAGCAGCTCCAATTCCCACGTTACTTTCCAGTCCACCCCGTCTGGGCACGACATCTCAGACAGGTGGCCTAGCAAAGTATAAAGGAGTCTAGGGCCATGAATCGATTTGATAAGCAGCCCGCGTGACATCATCACCCGCAAGAGAGCCCCAGCACTGGTTTGAAACGGCGTCACTAGGCCGATTTCTGGTTTGTCCGGCGCATATCCACCTGAAGCCCCCTCCAGCGGCTCACTGTACCCGAACGCTAACATGTGCAAAGGACCTTCCTGCAAGTCCAGAGTGAGGAGGCCGCACGATAAACGCAAGAGTATGTCTCGCCTGTCCAATGTCGGCTGAAACGGGACGTTACTTTCGAATAGCTCCCTCATAATGTTGCACAATGCACGTGCCACGCAAACGCCTTCGTACACGCTATCTGCAACAATGGTGGATGTAAACAGTGACTCAGCGTCGGAGGAGACCCCATGGACCACCGGCGGGTCGGAAATCTTGATGACGCAACGCCCGTAGGAGCGTCCTTTCCCAGTGGCATGAGGAAATACAAAGGCACCCATCGTGTCATCCCGCAACAGGGCATGAAAGAGCTGCCGAAACAAGGAGGGAGAACGGGAAGAGAGCAAAATAAAGGCCTGGCAAAGGCCATTATATAGTGTCTCCTCATTCGCCTTGCCTAGCAGGTGCGGTGCTCCAAGCACAGGAAGCAAGGAAAGGAGCGTCAATATGCTATGCAGGAGGACGCCAGGAACTACCGCCGCAATGCGAGCCACGCTAACGTAAATGCGTAGAGCAAACCAAAGATACTTCAACACTCGCCGGGAACCAGCATGGCACAAATTGTTCATCTCCTCGGGAACCTCCAGCACGTTCGACGAGAGCGTCGCAAGCACGTAGGGTCGAATGTCAAGGACAAGAGTCCACAATTTTGCTTGCAACTCAAATGGAGGGTTGTCACACGCGGCAACCTCCCCGTCAAGCGCAGTCGCACGTTGTCCAAACGCCTTGAGAACCTCACGCAAAGGCGCTGAGTCCTCCGTCACCACTCTTGGGCGCTTTACTGCGGTCCGCGGCGTGCGTGACCCCCCCTCCTCCGGATTCTTCACACTGGTCTCATTCATCCCCGCACAACGCAGTTTATGCTTCCCTCAGACCTGCACCTCCCCACAAACACACACTCCCACACCCACACACTCCAAGCCTGTGGCGTGGTTGTATGCCCCCTGCAATATCGTCTGCCTACAGTCTGCGCACGCTGCACACCAGTACCCTACAAGACGTAAACGAACACGAAAAAAAGAAAGGGAAAAAAATATGTGGGGGCAAAAAAAAAAGAAACAGCCCACAGCTTCGGAGCAAATAAAATAAAAAATATATATATGATGCCGTGTAGTAGACCTCCTTCAGAGGGCAAGAAGAGGTCTTCACCAGAGCAGGTGAGTGCCCCAACACTTACACGCACTTCCCAGAAGCATGTCGTTACCTCAGGAAGAGAGTAACACTTCAAGCTTTTCCAGAAGCGTATCATTTTCATCCTGCAGGACAGACACCTGCTGAACAACATCCAACTGGCGTTTAATGGCCACCTCAAGGGCATCTAAGGGTAAAGACGAAGGCTCAGACGTGTCCGTGTCTTGTTTCAGCTCATTGTACATGTCTACAATGCTTTGGCCAACCTCCTTCACGGATTGCTCCTGGTCCAGTTTAAGGTGGCCGTAGTCATTCACTTTGCTGAAGAATTCCGTGGCCTCGCGCATCAAGGCTTCCTTTTTCAACGAGTTTCCTACAGAGTTTGAGGCACGCCTCGGCATCTCGCTGCGAGAAGGGGAACCCGTGGCCGGCGTTGAGACCTTTGGCGTAGTTATCGGGTCTGACGGCTCCGGAGTTGCAGGCGCTGGGGCCTGCGCCTTCCGTGCCTTGTCCTGCTGCGCGTATCCCACTGCGAGGGCAAGGCGCTGCAGGAACACATTCGTTTTCTCCGGCTCACTCCCTGAAACGATCCTCTTCACATTTACATCAATCTTACCGCCAAGGAGCGAGCCCACGTATTTGACTAGCGTCGTGAGGTACTCAATCTTCTTCTCCTTGCTGTCGATCTTCGTCACGTCAAGCTGGTCCGGAGTAAAAATGTGGTCGTACGCGGCAAAGCGCGCGTTGATGGCTGTCACTATATCGGCAATGAAACGAAACGGCGGTCGCTTTAGCAGCTTCGGCGTGAGCTCCGGGCCGTCCAACTGCAGCGGTCGGAACGCCTCGATGGTCGGCGTCCAGAAGTCCACCTCCGCGTCTCCCATGGCCGGGGGTGCGGAGGCGAGTGGAAGCAGCAACGAGGCAGCAAAAAAAAAACTGGGGAAACAAAAGAAGAAGGAGCTAAGTCGTAGTTTATATATATATATATGTGTGTGTAGGTCGCCTAGTGAAGCACACACATCACGGAAGACGCAAAACGGCATAAACAACCGACCGCCCACAGCCACACACACACACATACATGTCAGAAAAGAAAATAAAAAAGCAAAAGGAGCAGGAACGTGGGAAAGCGGAGAAGAATAGGATGGAAAGAGCGCACCCATGGGCGCGAAGAAGCCACATGCAGCAGGCAAAAAATACAACAGAAAAAATGTGCATAAAGGAGAGAGTATAGGTCAAGAATGACATAATGCTCACAACTGAGTGGCGCCTTTCGATCCGTTCAGGCCCTAATTGTCCTTGATGCCATCAGCGGGCACGGAATTGTTCTCCTTGCCTGGCTCGTTACCGGTGATGCGATCATGTCCGGTCAACTTCTTGAACTCGCTAATGTGCCGCGTTTCATCGGGAACACCAAGCAGCGCATTTAGAGAAAAGCGACTCTCCAGTCGACGTTGCTGCGATTTGGGAAGCAGCCGATTAACCGTCTCGTTGTGTGCTGCAGGCACAAATAACGTGCTTGCCCCAACACCCAGCAACTTAAGACCAATATTGCGAAGCGCGACGTGCGTGTCTTGGCGGCGTATAGCCAACCAGGACTGAAATTCCGGGTTCTGCCGCTTCAGGTACGTCATTTCTCGCAGCTTGTTAACCATGGCAACCAGACTAAAGGGCGCATCCTTGCCCAACCAGTGCTCCTGAATAGCCTCAATTGGGGTGTAGTGAGGATACACCTGCTCCTCAATGCCCATCCACCCCTTCATGGCATGGACAAGGCCCAAGTCGTCCTCTGTCCGGACCTTGGCGGTGCGCATGAGCTGTGAGGGGCGATAAAAGTCCTTCAGTGGCCTTGACAGCAGACGATTGATGGCCTTCAGGTAAATAAAGCTAAAGGCGTGGGCCGAGATGGCCGTGGTGTACGTACCAGGTGGATCCTGGAAGTCCAGGGCGTTGTACTCGGGATCCATCAGGGTTGGGTGAAATCCCCACATGCTCATCCCCTCTTCGGCCGCACTTTGCTCGTATTCATCCTGCTCAGACTTCCTCGCGTACTTGTTGTACGACTCTGCTGGACGAAAAGCAATGGTGATGTCTGACGTATACCGCGACATCTTGCGGATGGAGATGTCACGTGTCGTCCCCATGGCGTCATCAAAGCGAATGGTCCGGTGCACGCTGGCACGACCCAGACATGCGCCAACGGCCGCTAACAGATCCGTAAAGCCCTCTGACGCCGACACATCGTTTCTTGCCCTCCACAGCATGTCTCGCGCCCCTGTCTTCTTGTCAGTGAAGTAGAAGGAGATGGTGAAGATCTCCTCCGGTCTATGCTCGTCCACATCGATGATGCAGTCGAGACACTCAATTTCCTCCCCGAGCTCGCGCCAGGTCAGGTGCTTGGGTGTCTTTTTAAACTTGTGCACAAACATCAACTTGTGCTTCCACTTCTCCTCGGCGTCGTAAGGCACCACGGCATCGTCCGGCTGCGACATGGTCTCAATAACGTCGCTCTCAACCTCATCGATACGGCGAAAGTCCACCGTCGAGTTCTTCACGTCCATCACGTCCTCCACCCTCCACATACCTGCGGCCCGGAGAGGGCCGTAGTCCGGTTCCACCGACCCATCGACCGACACGACGCCCCCGGCACCCGCCGGTGCCCCTTGCAGCGTGCCAGCCGCGTTACCCCCTCCCTTCTTGCCATGCAGCACGGTGTGCGACTTTGCGACTGGCGGCGTTGCCACGTCCTTCGACGTGCCCTTTGTCCCACCATAGCCCTCAGTGGTTGTAACAGTGCGGCCCTGCAGCAGAGCTAGCGGGTGACGCGGAAAGGAGGCGCGGCACACGACCCGCTGCAGCTGAAAGAAGCGCATATAGATATTACTATCGACTCTATGCCAATGCACTCAACCTCGCCCGCCTTTTCTGCTTCTTTCTCCCGCCTTCCCAGCGTCGCCGTGGTGAGTGAGGAAAGGTGCTGCAACGGCGAATTCAGACCGAATGCAGCCGCGCCATATAAGACGCAAAGAAAAAAAAAGGCACTGCACCATCTGACGATCTCCACACACATGTACACATCCATTTGTACGGAAGAAGAATGCCAAGAATCAAACGAGCAGATGACTGCACAGACGCGGTCTGTCTTCTTCTTGGGGCAAGCAAGGGCATTTAGGCGCCCCTCACTCACTCCCTCTCTCTCTTTCTAACACACTCTCCGCAACACAAAGCCCCAAATACGTATATAAATAGTTATCGGCACGTACACATACACGGCTGCGCATACCCCAAATCAAATGCAACGCCTTCGTGTCAGTTGATCGTCGTTCGTTGTACACTCGCCGTTACATCACTGAAAGGTCGCCGGGGGCCTAAGCACTCCTCTGCGGAACACCGACCGTGAGCGGAGCCCCATCACCGCCAACGGAAACAGGATTCCCGCCACAATCATCACTAGCCCCACCACGTACCCCAGCGGGGAGTACTGAAGGATCACATCAGCCATTTCTAACCCACCGCCGCTGCGGCCGTGGAGCGCAGGGGGAGAGCGTGAGGAGGATGAAGAGGCGCGCGCAGCTGACCGAGGCGCCCCTCAACTGATGCCGCGCACCCACGCACACGAGTTAAACAAAAGAGAGCAAACACAAAACAGCGACAACAACGAGAAGAAAACAGATTGCAATAAAGACAACAAAAACGGCGACCGACACCAGCGGCAGCGAAGCATGAAGCAAATGGAGCAGCATATACATAGTCAGAATACAGGTATTAACAGCAGCGTGCATAAGCAGCGGAAATTACTTACGCGTCCTTGACGAAAAAGGCAAGAAGTAGAAACAGGAGAAGGGACGAAATAAGGGGAGGAAAAAGGAATAACGAAGGACTCGGAGACAAGTAGCCCACAATGGGATCAGTCCTGCTTTTGCTCGTGCTGCAGTTTATCCAACAACAGTTGCACCCGGCCATTCATAACCGGCTGTCCCTTTCGAGTCTTTTGCGCGTAAAGTGCGTTATTCACTTGTCTCCTTTGAATGCTGTGAAGCTTTGCCGCTTCTCTCTCCTTCCTTGCCGCCTTTGCCGCCTCAATTTGTTCCTGCCGCTTCTTCCGAACCTCCTCCACCTTCGTCAAGGCGTTGTGATGTTTTTCCTTCTTTTTGAGGATCTCTGTCACCGTTTGCGCGGCGTAATTCCGTTTCAAGTTGAACTTTCGCTTCTTCTTCTCCGCGTTCGTGAGACTCTGATCGTAGTCTATGCTCTGCAGCTTTTCGTTCAGCGTGCTGGACGCGTCCCTTCGCACCGAGTCGTACTCCTCCAAACGCTTGGAGTGGACGCCTTCCTCCTTGCAGAGACGCCGATACTCCTCCATGCGCTGCCGCTCTGCGTCTTTACTCTCCCGCCCATGCAGGAGCAACTCATTGCGCACCTTCCGCCTAAACGCGGCCTGCCGCTCCGCCTTCAGCATGGGCGGGGGACGCCGACTCGAGCCGTCGCCGCCACCACTAGTCATCTCCCTTCTTTTGCTCCTTTTCTTCGCTGCGTCGCAATTCGGCCTGGAAAGCAAAAAAAAAAAAGAAGCAGGGGAAAGAAATAATTACATGGGGCAGTACAAAGAGTCATTCATACGCAGCCCTGTAAGGCAAAAAAGAAAAAATACAGGGAAACAAAAACAGAAGAAAACAGCTCTCCATGAGCTTTGCCAACGTATTCGTAAACGTAACTAGAAGGGGGCAAGTGTACAAGAGTGTCCCGGGTGGGGGTGAAGAAATACCTCCGCATTTGCGGCAAATTTACGCAGCCACACTTGTAGACATGAACATTGAGAATATGCCTCGTGCTCAGCTGTCACGAGATCGAGAACGCTGCTGGAGTGTCAGCTTCGCAGTCTTCACAAGCTCTACGAGAAGTGCGACGGGAACTGCTTCCTTGCGGTAGAAGCCCCCGCTTGGAAAGAATAGGTAATGCTGCTCCGGCAAGAGCTGCGCAAGCGACCGCAATGGACGACCGTGAGGCTCGTAGAGGACGCTCGGCGCCGGTCGGCAGTTCATCAACGTGCCCGCCTTCTCTGTTAGTTGCTCCATGTAGCGGTAGCCACCGTGCACTAAAATTCGTGTTGGTTTGCACAGAAACGATGTCAGGCTGCCAAAACAGGGCCAAACATTGATCCAAAACGTCTTCTCCTGCACAAGCGGCGCTGTTGGGACACACATGCTGGTGTATTGAAGATTGGTGGACACCCTGGCAGGCACCGGCGCGGGGCCAAGGTTGGCCCGGGGTAGTGGTGAGCCGTTTTCCGGAACGCGACGACGTCGGGGCTCCAATGCAGCGGAGAAACTCGTATGGTGAAGCAGTGGTCCGCCGCTATCCTCCCAGCACCTGCCCCTGTAGCGAGAACCGCCTGAGAGGGGCAAAGGTAGTGCCTGCGGATGAGGAGAAAGGGCGTCCGACGTCGTCGCCTCTGAACTGCCGTGGCTGAATCTAAGTGGACGCAGGTCAACATCGTCGAGGGAGTCCGAGCTGAAATACAAAACGTCGGCGCCTAGTCCTTTCCAAAGGTACGGCCTCCTCTCGCCTGGGTTCAATGCATTTTTCTGCCGACACTCCCCACTAAGGAAACTGCAGTTGCCCGAATCGCCGCGCTTTGCGTCATACACTGCCTGTTCATGAGCCCCTACGGCACTATTGGGAACTGCAGCTACGAGGCATGGGTTGCGTGGGGGCGACATAGCATTCATTGTGGCGTTTTCTGGCTGACGCCGCCTCTGTCGCCCCATAAAATTCCTACTTATTTGCTCGCGCTCCTCGCAAAATCGGTCCTGCTGCCGCCCCGCACAACGCCCGTCGACCCCTGAAGCAGAGGACATTTCATCCAAGGTGTCTCGCATTCGCTGCAGATGCGGGGCAGTGGACGGAGAAGCGCCTGCCGCCCCAGTGAAGACGAACGCCTCTCTGGAAGACACCTCCCCTACGGACAGCAGTCATGCATACACAAAGTGCGAGAGCAAAGCAAAGAGAAAAAAAAGCACACAACCCAAAACAAAAACAAATATAAATGTTTTTTTTACACAAAGTACATGCATGCACGACGGCATCAACATGAGCTTTGACAGGAGGGCAGACAGTAGCAAACTGTTTCATCAGAGTCAAAACAAGTTGAAAAGAGCCCATCACAGCTATGTGATCGTATTCGAGCCCGACCGCGTGGCAAATCTACTACACCGCCATTCCATCTCTCACCAGCGTCATTTCTCCCGCCCCAAATTCCTTTTTTTCATCCTGCGTTCCCCCCCCCCCCTCTGTCAAATCTCTTTTCCACTGAGTACAAAATGAACACGAGCAGTCACGAAGTGATTTGTACGATAATTATCACCATCGCAACGCCGCCCAACGGGGCAAGGGGAGCAGGGCAACCACAGTGTCGCAGAAACACCCTCGTCGTCAGCATTGCCTCCTGTTCACTTTTTGTTTTTCTTCTAATGCAGTGATTAATATGTTTCGCTTCTTTTCCTCCCTTTCCTGTGAGATGCGGGTCCGGGCTACTCGGAGGTAGTCAGCACAGGACGGGGGCCCAGGACCTTTTCTATATCGTCCCTCATGAGCTCTTTTTTCTCCAGCAGGAGTTTCGCGAGCTTCTCATGCAGCTCGCGCTTTTCAAGCAGGGTTTTTTCTGTGTGCTTGTATGCCGCAGCGACAAGTTCCCGGGCCTCCTTCTCTACCTTTGCGTGTAGTTCCTCAGAATAGTTCATCCAGGCACGACCCTCATTGGGGCCGTTCGGCTTAAAAGCCAGCTGGCCAATAGACTTGGACATGCCGTACATTAAAAGTTTCTCCATTGCAATGCGAGTGGCGCGCTGGAGATCGTCCATGGCGCCTGTTGAAATGTCCCGCAAAAATATCCTCTCGGCAACGCGACCACCCATGAGAACACATAACTGTGAGAACAAAAACACATCCGTACGTGGCTCCAGCGCCTCATCCTGCACCTGCTGCGTGTAGCCCCCGGCCCTTCCACGTGGAATAATGGAAATTTTTACCACATCCTTCTGCAGCGGCGATGTCCAGGCCATGATTGCATGTCCAACCTCGTGGTAGGCGGTGCGCTGCAGCGACTCCTCGCCCATCCGCTGACGATGCTTCTTACCTATAAGAACGTCGTCAATGCTGTCCTGGAGTGTCTTCAGCGGAACAACTTGCTCCTCTGACATGGCCGAGGTCAAGGCGGCTTCGTTCACAATGGTTGCAATTTGTGCCGGCGACACACCCGGGGTGCGTTCTGCCAATGCACGCGCGTACGCCTTGTTACTGACGCCAGGGACAACCTTCACCTCCACAGGCGTCTCCACAATCACGGATTGCGCCTCCTCCGCCTGCTTCTCTTGTTTCACCTCAGCGCCAGGCACGGTCGAGGCGGCAGCGGCGCCACCCTCACCCTCCCTTCTCGTGCGAAATGTTTGAACCTTAGGCTTACAGTTTGGATCTCCCGTAATGATGCGGTTCAGGTAAAACTCAAAGAGATCTTGCCGGGCTTCCATGTCAGGCATTGGGATATTCACCTTGCGATCAAAGCGCCCGTCGCGCAAAAGGGCCTTGTCAATTGCCTCAGCATAGTTTGTGGCTGCAATCACCACAATCGCCTCCTTGCTGGAAAGCCCATCCAGCTCGGCCAGCAACTGGTTGATGGTACGGTTTTCCTCGCTGCTGCCGCCTCCACCCATGCTGCGGCCACCCTGGTTACGAGAGCCTATGGCGTCAATCTCGTCAATAAAGACAACGCACGGCGCGGCCTCCCTGGCCTGTGCGAAGAGCTCCCGGACCCGCTTCGGGCCACTGCCGCCAAAAATCTCGATAAAGTCCGCGCCAGAACAGGAGAAAAACGCCGTACTCGCCTCACCTGCGACGGCGCGAGCCAAGAGAGTCTTTCCAGTTCCTGGTTTCCCGGTCAGCAGGCAACCCTTCGGCAGACGGGCCCCAAGTCGAGTAAACTTCTTTGGCTCCTTCAAAAAGTCCACGTACTGCTTGAGGTCCTCTTTAGCCTCCGGGATGCCGATGACGTCGGCGAAGGTGGTGTCTTTCACATCTACACGGTAATTCTTTGACTTCATGGGGTTCATCATATCCATCAGACCGCTCATCATTGAATTTTTCTTTGCCGCATCCCCGGTAGCGGCCTTACCCACGGCCTGAACGTATTTGCGTCGCATATACCAAATTGGGCCGACAAAAATAGCAAGATTAACAAAAAGTGGAGCCAGCCAACTGACTGCATTTCCGAGAACTGGACCCGAAGGTCTTACCATGCCGTCGTAAAATCCTTTAAAGTAATCATTGTCCTGCTGAGGGGAAGCGTAATTCGGTGCCTGTGGCGGCGGCGGCGGCGGTGCTGTGTAACCGTAAGGCACGTTTTGTTGACCTTGGTGTTGCATGTATACGGGCTGCGCAGGCGGATAGGAAGAGGGAAACTGTTGCTGCGGCGGCTGCTGCATAGGTGGTGCCTGCTGACCGTATGGCTGCTGCTGCTGTTGCTGCTGTTGGTAGTACATCTGCTCAAAGAGAGACGGGCCGCCTTGGCCGCTTCGCTGATCGCCCTGCATTGCCGCTACCAAGAAAAATAGCCCAAGAGCACACAGCGAAGGAAAAAAATGGAAAACAAAAACTCAGGTGTATTTATATGACTTTACGTGTGTTCGAGTTTTTGCGAAGGCTACAGGACTTGGAAGATTAAAAAAAAAACCGGCAAAAAAAAAGCAATTCCGTATAAACATCGAGGCAAAGTCCCCGGCTTGTTTCCCGTCATTCAGTCATAGAAACAGAAACCAAAGGAAAAGCACCTGTGGAGAATGCATCTAGGTTGCCGCATC